AACCAGAGAAACCACACACACACACACACTCAGCATCTGATACAACAGCAAGAAATCCCAGTTTGTGTCACAGCAAAAGTGGTCTCAAAACTCTGCAAATTCTTTCATGGAGGGTCGGTGGCCTTTTTGTCCATGGGAGCTGGGAACTCTCGCTCACTGAGTATGTTTACAAACCACAAGAAACACAAAAAATTAAGTCCAAAAACATACATTATACAAACATTTCTATTATAAGATTGTTTTTGTCCTGTGCTCTTAAATGCATCACTGCCTGTTGTCTCTTTAGGATCCGGAAATGTGCAGCAGCTTCTCAGAACGGACTGTTTTTCACCTCAAATGCAGCGTCCAATATGCTACACACACAGTATTATAATTGTCTGTCTCTATGTGTGTGTGTGTGTGTGAGTGTTTGTATGTGTCTCTTTCTCTGTCTGTGTGTGTGTATATCTACTGTATATGTCTCTTGTCTGTGTGTGTGTGTCTCTTGTCTGTGTGTGTGTGTGTGTGTGTCTCTTTCTCTGTCTGTGTGTGTGTGTATATCTACTGTATATGTCTCTTGTCTGTGTGTGTGTCTCTGTCTGTCTCTCTCTCTGTGTGTGTGTGTGTGTGTGTGTGTGTGTGTGTGTGTCGTTGTCTGCCTTTCCATTTTTCGTATGTCTGTGTGTGTGTCTTTTTCTGTCTGTCTCTGTATGTCTGTGTGTGTGTGTGTGTCTCTCTCTGTCTGTCCATCTATCTCTGTGTGTGTGTCTCTCTCTGTCTGTCCATCTGTCTGTGTGTGTGTGTGTGCGTGCATGCGTGTGTGTCTCTGTCTGTTTGTATGTGTCGTTGTCTGCCTGTCCATTTCTGTATGTCTCTGTGTGTGTATCTTTGTCCGTCTGTCTCTGTCTCTGTATGTGTGTGTGTGTCTCTGTCTCTATCTGTCCGTCTCTCTCTGTCTGTGTGTGTGTCTCTGTCTATCCCTCTGTATCTCTCTGTGTGTGTGTATGTGTGTGTGTCTCTGTCTGTGTGTGTGTCTCTGTTTATCCCTCTGTATCTCTCTGTGTATGTGTGTGTGTGTGTGTGTGTCTCTGTCTCTATCTGTCCGTCTGTCTCTGTCTGTGTGTGTGTCTCTGTCTATCCCTCTGTATCTCTGTGTGTATGTGTGTGTGTGTGTGTGTGTGTGTGTGTGTCTCTGTCTCTATCTGTCCGTCTGTCTCTGTCTGTGTGTGTGTCTCTGTCTATCCCTCTGTATCTCTGTGTGTGTGTGTATGTGTGTGTGTGTCAGAATCTCAGCCTAACAATGGCTCGCGCTGGGACTCTGTACATTCAGTCCCTGTTCCTCTCACATTTCTCAGAGTCTAAACCTTGAAAGCACCAGAAAAAATGTTCGAAATGAAGACGACCTGGATTGTTCTTGTTCAATCCCAGGTTCAGATGTTTTAACACGACACACACACAGACTCTGATCCATCACTGTCATTACAGACCTAACATTTATCACTCCACAAAGAAGCCAAGACTGAGCAAAACTGACAATCATCATTAAACACAGACCCAGTGACTTTAGGCTTCATGAGAATCAGTCACAATGATACAACTGTAATTATTTTCAACATTATAGTGAGTTGTGGGCTTTTAAAATATCGCAATTTTGGTAACAATCCAATTACATGCATTTTTACTAAACTCTATTCATATCAAATCTATCACTTTGTGGCGATCTCCCAAAAGACGAAAAACAAAATATATTTAAGTTTGTGGTCTTAAACATGATTAAATATAATGTTCGCAAGCTCCGAGGTAATGGTGCTTGAATTTAACGGTTTTTATCTTAATTTTCTCCAATGCGACAAAGCCATTTACTCTTATTTCTATAACTGTTGCCATGGTGATCATTATTCTTTGTCGCATTGGAAATGATTGTTTTAAGGCAGTCAGAATAGTCAAATTAATGCATTTTTGACTCATTTTGCTTAACTTTTTGCAGTGTGACGGCTTGAGATAAATTCCTTTTTCTGCACTAGACACCCCAACACGTCAACGATACAAATGCAAGACAAGGGGATGCATTAATTATTTATAAAAACAATTATCATGGGACGTAACTCAGCTCATTGAATTAGTCGAACGGAAATGTGTTTAAGAATAATCCACCAAACCTGCAGCTAAGGCAGACGAAAGCATTTAATCCACAGTCGTAAATAAAACTTTCCGAGCCTTCATGTGGGATTACAGTATAAGTCTCATTACAACAGACACATATAGAGCCATCAGAGCAGGAGCCAAAACAGGTTTTTAGCACCAGTTTTTGTTTGTATATCTCTTTGGCCTTATTTTTTTTATCCAATTTTTCAGACATAAAAGTGAAAATGAGAGAACCCACCCTCTCTCGGCCAATCAGCTTTCCGCTCAAAGAGTCCATAAGTGACTCACAGGGCTCTTTCTTACACATGTGCAAAAGACTGAATGTTTTCTAATCGGACAAAATGCACACTGTGGTCTGGATTTGTCTCTTTCCATTTGGACAAAGACGATTCTGATTTATGGAGCAAAAAAGTTAGGTATCCCAGCTTTAAACTTAACCATGTTTCTACTGGATTTCACTGCTTAAATATTTTACAAGTATAAGTATGTGTATAGTAGCGCTTTGGGCAACAATTGTTGTTGTAAATGCGCAGTATAAATAAACTTGACATTGACAACTTGACATTGTGTATAGTTATTTATATTTATCTCTTTTTTGTTAAATTCCTATCATGTTTTTCTGATTCCCGATGTTGCTTCAGTGGCTGTTCAGCGTCCTGGGTTGCTTCTGCATGAATGGTGCTTATACATAAATTGAATGGCCTAAGGAAAGGAGATTGTATGAAAAAGTCTCACGATGTCTCTATGGGGAATATTTGTCGTTCTCTCACAAGTTGTTGATTGTTTTGTCTTTTATTTCTTCTCTGCTATTTCCAGCCGGACGCCATTCCTGTCGCAGCCTCTGAGTCCGGACACTATTTAATCTAACCTCATCGTCTCCAACAATAGCATCAACAGGGATTCATTCTGAGGTGTCTGTCATTCAGGGTTCAGCACCTGTTTGTCTCAGATCAGAGATAATTGGATTTAAATGATCTGACTTAACTCCAGGTCTAAACACACTGCGGAAAATGATCAAATATGAAGTAATGAATGCTTGAATTAAGTGGTTTTTATCTTAATTTGAGCCCATTCTGACTGTGTTCAAACCAGATTCTCCAACAGGACAAAGCCATTTAGTCTTATTTGAAGAACGGCTTTATTTTCTCATTCCAATCGCGACTTTTCTTGTGTCTTTATAAAACAAGATTATTTCCAGAAGGTGCTCAATACATACATTTAGCCAATTTTGTTGCCTTTTTTTAATATCCCTTTTTGCAGTGCATTTATAAACATGTATGGACAGTGGTTATCCCGCTCCCTAAAGACCAATGGCCCCATGAGTTTGTTATCATTTCCTGTGTTCGTACAGTTTGATTCTCTGATCTGATATTGGCGAATCGACAACATTGTAAAGTCCTCCGAGACGACATAGGGCTATACACATTTAAACAATGGTATTTACAGTGTTCGATTTCACATTTCAGCTCGATAAGGGCAAAGATACATTAGATACATTTGAGGTCTTTTGGCAGTGTGTTCTAAGTGTAGAGAACCAGGTGATTTAAAGCTGGGGTACTTAAGTTTTAAGGAGGTTCCGCATAAGGCCGCACATCCCGTTAGCCTGAACTACCGTGCTATAGATTCAAACAAGATGCACATTTTGTAAAATAAAGTCAAATCTGCACAGCTCTGTAGCTCCCCAGTGTCCTGTAGTTACAGACTGCAATGGTTTCGTCCGTACTTAAGTTTCAAGACAGAAAAATACTAGTTCCTCGCTCTCTAAACCGTTTGCTTCAATCACTTTTTTCATTATCACTACCTTTTGGCGTCTGTCACAGCTTTAGATTTGCTTTTTCAAACAGAAAAGTGAAAAAGAGACCACCCTCACTAGGCCAATCAGCTCTCAGCCGAAAGAGTCCAATAGTGACTCCCAGGGCTCATTCTTACTTACTTACAAGTATGCAAAAGAATAATTACAATATAAAGACTGCATTTTGTGGTCTGACTTTTTCACAACACATTCTTTTACAAGCCTTTGTGTTGGGACAAAAGTTAGGTACCCCAGCTTTAACTTTCATATAAAAAGTTTCTCAAGAACTTCATACGCCTCTGTTCTGTACATCTTAATATGGCTTTGATATTTCATATATATTTATTGTATATTTTAACACTGTTTTTTTGCTCTCTGGTGCAGGCCCTGAGTCCAGCGTCTTCACCATTAGCCTCACTAGCTCGCAATTAGCAAAAGTTTACATACACAATAAGGGAAGCCACAGAACATATTTTTCAACTTTTAACCAGCCTTCTTATCTGCATTGGTACTTCTTATGTTCACAAATGACCAAAGCCTGATACACAATCATTTTAGCCACCTATAATTAAACATATAGAACCAAGTTAACACATATAGAACCAGTAAAGGCCAAAGTAATTTCTTTAAGCAGTCATTTTGTCCCCCACATGTCTCCACCACCGGGCTATGTTTCACCTTACAAACTCCAAGCTATGAATAGATTAGCTCCGGACAAGTCTCTCTACAAGCCGCGGTTATAAGGAGAATCGACCACTTAGATTTACTGATTGATTCGTCATTTTTATCCAGAATAGTCGGGAGCAGACAGGAGCGCATTGGGAAAACATTTCAATCCACTCCATCAACACATTTAGAGACAATTTACGAAAGGTCAGCCACCCCTTTAATACCTAGGGCCTTAGAATGACAGTGCTCGGGGATGTCTGAGGCAAACAAAACTAGGCTTAAGTGCATTTCCAGCTGTCCAAAACTGATCCCAAACACACATTATGGAGCTAAAACCCGTCAGCGATCCATTCAAACGCATGCGATAGATTAGGGAGAAGACCTAGGGAGTTAAATAATGCAAAATTGGACTCACCCCGGGAGATTAAAAGCGTGCAAAGCAGAGATTGAGCAGCCTGGTGCCGCTTGGGAAGCACTTGCTGATGTGTCATAGGAGGAATGCGCTTCCCCTTCCACCCCATGTATGGACGCACTCGCAACTATATTTAGCATTTACCCCCCAAAATTTACCCCCGGTACACACTTTGGGGCGAGAAGCCGTAGGTGTTTTAATCCGAAATATAGTTAAAAGTGCGAGGGTTTGTGTGGATTCTGGTATGTTTTAGACATGGATAAAAATGCATGATGAGAAATGCAATTGGGGCGGCACGGCGGCTGAGTGGATAGAACTCTCGCCTCTCAGCAAGAAGGTCCTGGGTTTGGGCCTTTCTGAGTGGAGTTTGCATGTTCTCCCCGTGTCTGCGTAGGTTTCCTCCGGGTGCTCCGGTTTCCCCTACCACTAAAAACATAGGTCTGAATGTAAATTAGAGAGTGAATGGATGGTGTTGGTTGGAGCTGATGGTCCAGTGTGTTCTGGACTCGCTTCTGTCATCACCGTGTGTGGAATGAATGGAACAATATCTGAACTCTGAACATTGTAAAGTGCTTTGGGTGACCTTGGTCTGTAAAATGCGCTATATAAATAAACATTACTTAAGGACTTTGGACTGTAAAAACGTGCTTAAATTAGGGAATAATTCTACTTTTTTGTAGTTTTTTATAACTTTCTCAAAACAAGATTAATGGGTTCAGCAGCATTGGTCTTATTTAAAGCAGAGAGAAGAGAGAAAATGCTAGCCTTAGACTTGTGATCCAAATTTCACCCATTGGCAAATTTTGTTTTGAGGCAATTACAGAAAGTCTACTCATCAATTTTCCAACTCATGCAGCCCATTCTTTTGTGAAATGGTGTTAGTAATTCCTGGATTCACTTTATATGCAAAGTAGATAGAAAATCCAGAAGCTTTTCAATAAAACTTGACCAGCTCCCAGTAGCCAGATTTTACCGTCTCACCTTAAAAATCTGAAAATATTGAACCAAAAGCACAAAATGGAGGCTTTCTTTCTCCCCGGTCCCAAAGGCAAATGCCGGTGATCCCTTTTTAGGCTCCCAAGACCCCGTGTCCCCTCCTTAGCTCACACTTGTCGGCAGAAGTGGGTCTATTTTTACCGCAGGCCCCTGATACTGCGATACCTCTGATTCTTACAGTACAAGACAAGGCTATATTTATACTTTCAAATGACTAAAGCCGTGTGGGAACGACCGCATGGAGGAAGTAAAGAGGTTCAGAGAAGCAGCTGCGGCGTCTTTACAGCTCTGTGAACCCACCACCGCCATGTTGTCCCAGACCCAGAAGCTTCATTTCACCGCACGGTTATAGGGAGTGGGTGATAAACTCCGTGGTTGTGTTCACGTGACATCACAACATTCAGAAGAGGCAGTATAGTTGTGGTGGAGGGCAGCTGAAATATCGGTCCTTTGATTATATTGTGAGTAAACTGCAAAAAGGGGTGAAAAATAGAAAAAGTCAAAAATAGCTTGAAACTGGAAACATGTTTCTTAATTTGAGCACATTGTGACTTCTTTATATCAAGATTTGACAAATGGGACAAAGAAAAATGATCTTGTTTTGAAAAGATACAAGAAATGTCTAAGTTGGAATGAGAAAATAAAGCAACAGTTCTCGATATAAAACTAAATGGCTTTGTCCCATTGGAGAATCTTGCTTTAATACAGTCAGAATGTTTCAGATTAAGATAAAACCACGTTATTCAAGCAATATTTTAGCATTTTTGCACTTTCAAAAGTCATATTTGTAGTTTTAGTGCCAATTCCTGGGCAGAACTATTACAAGAGTCTGTGTTTAAAGCTGTGGAACCTCACTTTTTCCTGATAAATAATATAATGTATTTGTCCAGAAATGTGTCTTGTAAAAGTAAAGTGTTGTGAATTGGAAAATATGTTGTTATTTTTTACAAACTTGTGAGAAAGAACCCTGAATGTCACGAGTTGACGCTTTGGGCTGATTTTCTGACTGAGAGCGGTTCTTTTAATTTTCTTGATTAATACTACAGCCCCAGTATAGATTATTTTATCACTTAATATCAGTATTTTATCGTCCAACATAACCACTTTTGAGTTGGACACATTTAGCCACAAGCTGATGGTACCGGCTCATAATCCATGCACAGTGTCAACACAATTTATACGGTGTCCCACAAGCATGTTTTTTAGGACTTAAGTTTTATTTCAGGTATGAATGTGGTGAATAAGTGAGCAAAAATTCTTCTTGTCGTAAACCACCTCCTAGAATAAAATATACGTTTTATTTGAATGTATGTGAAAAGTCTGGATCAATTCTAACTATAGCTGAATTAAACATGTCGTAAAAAGCTGTTTGCATTTATCTCCTGTGCAGACTCTGGCGACCTCTGGTGGAGACTCTATATACGCTGCTGATTAGAGATACAGAAATCCAGTTCGAATATTATCGCATATTTCTCAATTACAAAAAGACTCAAGCATTTTGTGTGATAACTGCAAATGTTATTAAAGCCTCTTCCATACAACAAAACTTAAATCCGTCCAGAGGGGAAATGTTGTGATAGAAGTCAGCTCGTCTCATAAAGATCTATCACTGACCTAATTTTTGTTTCTCTACTCCAAAATATTAATGTCTGGCCATAGGCTTTAAAATGTGATATTCAAGTCAGCGTGTATCGGTCGGTCTCAAGACATTCATTTGATCTCACATTGACAGTCAGAGTTTATGAAGGTTTAGCTGAGTCAAATGTATTGAAAACTCATGAGAGACTTTAACCTTAGGGTGAAAGACACGTTTGGGATAAAAACAGCAGCCTTCCCCATCAATAAACTGAACAACTTTGCAGAAGAAACCAGTTTGATCGCAGCAAAACCTGTGTCCACTCATGCTGACTTTTGCTGCCCTCTAGTGGCCAAACTAAGGACTACCGCCAAAAAGGAAGCGGCACTAATTATTATCGCTGTATGTTGTGATGGCATTATTGCGACGCTGCCAAGATGTATTTTGTAAAGGCAAGGAAAGTTTATTTAATCAAAGTACATCAGAAAAAGAGTAAAGAAAAAATCCCTCTTTGTGAGTAAGTATGTAAGGTTTATTTATATAGCGCATTTTACAGACCAAGGTCACCCAGACCGCTTTACAATTGTCCAGCTTTCAGATATTATTCCATTCTCTTCACACGGTGATGATTTAAGCCGGACACACTGGTGCATCAGAGCCCTGTGTGTCTGCAGTCAAGTTGCCACTACAGAAAGTAACACTCATTTGGCATTCATAGCCGCTGCAGCTGCATTCTACTATTTGTTGAATTCCTAGTGTGTAATTATGTGGTAAACTGACAAAGGCACGATAAGAGTCCTCACTACAACAACTGATAAAAAATAAGTCAAAAATTCCTAAAATATGGCAAAATGTATCTTAATTTGTCCACATTCTGACTGAACCTTAAAACAAGATTTGCCAAAGGGACAAAGCAAATTTTGTTTTAAAAAGAAACAATAAATGTCTCTCTTGGAATGAGGAAATAAAGCAACAGTTCTTAACATCAGACTAAATGGCTTTGTCCCGTTGGAAAATCAATCCACTCGACTCAAGCAATAATTGATTGACTGCGGAACCTTCCGCAGTCAACCATTGGTTTTCACGTTCTTTATTATTATTCCGTCTTTTTCCTGATTTTTGACACGTTTCACAGCTTTCACATTTTCAACAATTTCCACAAGTTATACATCAAAACGTTCCACATGTTTGGGAGATTATTGCTATTACTTTTGGGACTTCAGCGATTTCCGGTTTTTCCGCAATCTGACAAAAATCGGTCGATTTTTCCCATTGACTTATAATGGGGCTTCCACAAATTCATAGTTTTCAGAATTTTCTTCAACATTTTCAGCATTTTCTGCAGTTTGTGCATGTTCAGCTTCCACAACTTGTGAGTTTTCAGAAAAAACTAGAAACTTGCAATGGCTGAAGCCATTGCGATTGACTGCGGAACAGATCTAATGTGGAATTTAGCTGAAAAATCCTTGAAATCCTTGAAACTGTTAAAATACTTTAAACATCTTTGAAACTCCTGAAGTATTTGAAGCTCCTGATATCCTTTAAACTGTTATCCTTTATACTGGTTTACATGTAAAAACCCCTATTAAGTTGCATTATACTGGTTTACATGGAAAAATCCCCATTAAGTTGCATTATACTGGTTTACATGTAAAAAACCCTATTAAGTTGCATTATACTGGTTTACATGGAAAAATCCCTATTAAGTTGCATTATACTGGTTTACATGTACTGGTTTTTTTCATGTAAACCAGTATAATGCAACTTAATGGGGATTTTTCCATGTAAACCAGTATTATGCAACTTAATAGGGATTTTTCCATGTAAACCAGTATAATGCAACTTAATAGGGTTTTTTTTCATGTAAACCAGTATAATGCAACTTAATAGGGTTTTTTTCATGTAAACCAGTATAATGCAAATTAATGGGGATTTTTCCATGTAAACCAGTATAATGCAACTTAATAGGGTTTTTTTTTACATGTAAACCAGTATAATGGAACTTAATAGGGATTTTTCCATGTAAACCAGTACAATGCAACTTAATAGGGATTTTTCCATGTAAACCAGTATAATGCAACTTAATAGGGTTTTTTTCATGTAAACCAGTATAATGCAACTTAATGGGGATTTTTCCATGTAAACCAGTATTATGCAACTTAATAGGGATTTTTCCATGTAAACCAGTATAATGCAACTTAATAGGGTTTTTTTCATGTAAACCAGTATAATGCAACTTAATAGGGTTTTTACATGTAAACCAGTATAATGGAACTTAATAGGGGTTTTTACATGTAAACCAGTATAATGGAACTTAATAGGGGTTTTTACATGTAAACCAGTATAATGCAACTTAATAAGGATTTTTACATGTAAACCACTATAATGTAACCCAGTGTCTCCCAAAGTGGGGTCCGCGGCCCCCTGGTGGGCCGCGAGGGTACTGCAGGGGGGCCGCGGGAGGTCATAAAAAAAATAAAAAAATAATATAATTATTTAATGTTAAATTTATAATGTTTTTTTTGTAATATTAAAATATTTGTGTTCATTATTTGACTTGAATAATCCACTGTAATCATAATTGTATTACAATGTTTGTAGCAGAGGCTATTTCCCCAAAATAAAATAACCAGAAGAGCCTATTCTTAATGTTGTCTTCTTGTTTATTATTTTGGGGGGCCACGCAGACCCGTCAGATTTTTAAGGGGGCCTCGGTGTTACTGAGTTTGGGAATGGCTGATGTAACCTAATAGGGGTTTTTACATGTAAACCAGTATAAAGCAACTTAATAGGGATTTGTACATGTCCATCCATCCATCCATTTTCTACCCTTTAATCCATTTCTGGGTCAGGGGGGTGGCAATCAGAGATGCCACCCAAGTCTCATAGCACCAGCCCCTCACTGATCCTCTGCAGGTGGTGAGTCCACAGGAGGACGGCTGCTCTCTGAGTGTGAGCATAGCCTTGATCTTTCAGTGGGGGCTTTGGGCAAAGTGGGGTTAAGTGTCTTGCCCAAGGACACAACGACAGCAGTCATCAGTGGGAGTCGGTGGAGAAGGTGCAGAGGTGGGAATTGAACCCACAACCTTCTGGGCTTAAGGCCAATGCTCTACCAACTGAGCTACTGTCGCCCCACGTGGATTTGTACATGTAAACCAGTATAATGCAACCTAATAGGGATTTTTCCATGTAAACCAGTATAATGCAACTTAATAGAGATTTTTCCATGTAAACCAGTATAATGCAACTTAATAGGGATTTTTCCATGTAAACCAGTATAATGCAACCTAATAGGGATTTTTCCATGTAAACCAGTATAATGCAACTTAATGGGGATTTTTCCATGTAAACCAGTATAATGCAACCTATTAGGTTGCATTATACCACCAGACCAAGACCCAAACGAAGACTCAGACCACCACCAGATAATGACCACAGACCAGGTTTCCTTAGTTACAGGAACCAAATTGTTTCAGCGGTGAGGGGATTTTTCAGTTTCAAAGATAATTTCAATACATTCAGTAGTTTCTAGGATTTCAACTGTTTAAGAATTTAACCAGTTTCAAGGATATCAGGAGGTTCAAGGATTTCAGGAGTTTCCACACATTCAACAGTTTCCAGGTTTAAAAAAGTTTCAAGGATTTCAGGAGTTTCAATGTTTCAACAGTTTCAAGGATTTCAGGAGTTTAAAGGTTTCAACAATTTCAAGGACTTCAGGAGTTTCAAATATCTATCAAGTGTTTTAACAGTTTCAAGGCCTTTTAAAGGATTTCAAGGATTTTTTTTAGCAGATTTCCACATTAGATCTGTTCCGCAGTCAATCGCAATGGCTTCAGCCATTGCAAGTTTCTAGTTACCTAATATTTGTTTTTTACAGTGTGTGTTTGGAAGTCCTTTTCTGAAGTTGAATAAGTGACACACATTATGATGAACTTCCTGGATTCCTGCGACGGCCCCTGACCTCTGACCCCTGACCCCTGAGTGTGTTTGGGCAGCAGCAGCATGAAGGTTATCGGAGCGAAAGGAGATAATGGACAGAGAGAGATTTCAGGGGCTTCCAGGTTAAAAGTAAATGCACACAAAGGGACTGTGTATGTGTGTGTGTGTGTGTGTGTGTGTGTGTCGAGCTAAAAGTAGAATAAAGCTGGGGTACCTAAGTCTTGTAAAAGTAAAACAACAAGTCATATTATTGGTAATCTTTTGTTTACTTGCAAGAAAGAGCCCTGTGAGTCACTATTTGATGCTTTGGGCTGAGAGCTGATTGGCTGAGTGAGGCGAGTCCTCTATTTGTGGCTCCACCAAATCTCTGTGTTCACATTCACTTTACAGTGATAGCAACAATGCATTACTGTTATATAGCGCTTGTTTGGAGACTCAAAAAGTTAACACTTCAGGTATAATTATTCTTTCACTCCAAACACGGTGGTGATAAACTACTACTGGAGGCACAGCTGCCCTGGGGCACACTGACACAAGCGAGGCCACCAGTATGTGCCATTGGCCTCTCCAACCACACAACCATTCACACACACACTAGACTCATTCTATGCAATGTGGGTGAAGTGTCTTGCCTAAGGAGACAGTGACAGCTTGGAACTTCACAGTCGCAGCCGCCCCACTGTGGCACCTGGTGTTCCCAGAGGTCTCCCATCACAGTACTATCCAGGCCCTGCCCTGCTTAGCTTTAGAGGTCTAACAGGGCAGGACAGGATGTGGCTTTCACATGTAGGTATATTGCCACAAGACATACATTCACACAAACAAACAATCCTCCAGCTCTGGTCCTGACCAAGAGCATCAACATCTGGAGATAGTTCCCAGGCGCTGTTGCTACGGCGACCACTGCTCCTGACGGTAGCCTTAGTGGTATCAATCCAATCCACTTTACTTACACACTGTAGCACACTTCATAAACGAGAAGTTTCCAAAGTGCTGTCCGTTCAAAGCTTTAAAAACAAAACATAATATCTTATAATCAATTCAGGGAGTGACATGGTCCGCTATTTGGTTCCTGTTAGAAGCCGTGCCGCAAAGTTGAGTGTGTTACAGTAGTCCAGACATGAAGAAATAAAAGTGTGCATAACTTGTTTAAAAAGGTTAAAAGATCAAAAAGTTAGTGTATCAATGTTCATGTATGTGTGTGTATATGTGTGTGTGCGTGTATATGCCTGTGTGTGTGTGTGTGCATGCGTGTGTGTGTACATGCGTGTGTGTGTACATGCGTGTGTGTATGCATGCGTGTGTGTGCATGCGTGTGTGTGTGCATGCGTGTGTTTGTACATGCGTGTGTGTGTGTGCATACGTGTGTGTGCATGCGTGTGTGTGTGTGCATGCGTGTGTGTGTGTGCATGCGTGTGTGTGTACATGCGTGTGTGTGTGTGCATGCGTGTGTGTGTACATGCGTGTGTGTGTGCATGCCTATGTGTGTGTATATGTGTGTGTGTGTGAATTCATCCGTGTCCAGACCTGGAGGGAGACAGAGGAAAGCCCATAGAGCCACATGGGGCTGAACGTCACGAGTCATGAGGAGGAGAAGCGTCAGGGTCATGAGGAGGAGAAGCGTCAGGGTCATGAGGAGGAGAAGCGTCAGGGTCATGAGGAGGAGAAGCGTCAGGGTCATGAGGAGGAGAAGCGTCAGAGTCATGAGGAGGAGAAGCGTCAGGGTCATGAGGAGGAGAAGCGTCAGAGTCATGAGGAGGAGAAGCGTCAGAGTCATGAGGAGGAGAAGCGTCAGAGTCATGAGGAGGAGAAGCGTCAGGGTCATGAGGAGGAGAAGCGTCAGAGTCATGAGGAGGAGAAGCGTCACGAGTCATGAGGAGGAGAAGCGTCAGGGTCATGAGGAGGAGAAGCGTCAGGGTCATGAGGAGGAGAAGCGTCAGGGTCATGAGGAGGAGAAGTGTCAGGGTCATGAGGAGGAGAAGCGTCAGAGTCATGAGGAGGAGAAGCGTCATCGTCATGAGGAGGAGAAGCGTCAGAGTCATGAGGAGGAGAAGCGTCAGAGTCATGAGGAGGAGAAGCGTCAGGGTCATGAGGAGGAGAAGCGTCAGAGTCATGAGGAGGAGAAGCGTCAGGGTCATGAGGAGGAGAAGCGTCAGGGTCATGAGGAGGAGAAGCGTCAGGGTCATGAGGAGGAGAAGCGTCAGGGTCATGAGGAGTAGAAGCGTCAGGGTTATGAGGAGGAGAAGCGTCAGAGTCATGAGGAGGAGAAGCATCAGGGTCATGAGGAGGAGAAGCGTCAGAGTCATGAGGAGGAGAAGCATCAGGGTCATGAGGAGGAGAAGCGTCAGGGTCATGAGGAGGAGAAGCGTCAGGGTCATGAGGAGGAGAAGCGTCAGGGTCATGAGGAGGAGAAGCGTCAGGGTCATGAGGAGGAGAAGCGTCAGGGTCATGAGGAGGAGAAGCGTCAGGGTCATGAGGAGGAGAAGCGTCAGAGTCATGAGGAGGAGAAGCGTCACGAGTCATGAGGAGGAGAAGCGTCAGGAGTCATGAGGAGGAGAAGCGTCAGAGTCATGAGGAGGAGAAGCGTCAGAGTCATGAGGAGGAGAAGCGTCACGAGTCATGGAGGAGGATGAGGAGGAGAAGCGTCAGAGTCATGAGGAGGAGAAGCGTCACGAGTCATGAGGAGGAGAAGCGTCACGAGTCATGAGGAGGAGAAGCGTCAGAGTCATGAGGAGGAGAAGCGTCACGAGTCATGAGGAGGAGAAGCGTCACGAGTCATGAGGAGGAGAAGCGTCAGAGTCATGAGGAGGAGAAGCGTCACGAGTCATGAGGAGGAGAAGCGTCAGGAGTCATGAGGAGGAGAAGCGTCAGAGTCATGAGGAGGAGAAGCGTCAGGGTCATGAGGAGGAGAAGCGTCAGAGTCATGAGGAGGAGAAGCGTCAGGGTCATGAGGAGGAGAAGCGTCAGAGTCATGAGGAGGAGAAGCGTCAGGGTCATGAGGAGGAGAAGCGTCAGAGTCATGAGGAGGAGAAGCGTCAGAGTCATGAGGAGGAGAAGCGTCAGGGTCATGAGGAGGAGAAGCGTCAGAGTCATGAGGAGGAGAAGCGTCAGGGTCATGAGGAGGAGAAGCGTCAGTGTCATGAGGAGGAGAAGCGTCAGGGTCATGAGGAGGAGAAGCGTCAGTGTCATGGGAGGAGAGAAGCGTCAGGAGTCATGAGGAGGAGAAGCGTCAGAGTCATGAGGAGGAGAAGCGTCACGAGTCATGAGGAGGAGAAGCGTCAGGGTCATGAGGAGGAGAAGCGTCAGGGTCATGAGGAGGAGAAGCGTCAGAGTCATGAGGAGGAGAAGCGTCAGGGTCATGAGGAGGAGAAGCGTCAGAGTCATGAGGAGGAGAAGCGTCAGGGTCATGAGGAGGAGAAGCGTCAGAGTCATGAGGAGGAGAAGCGTCAGGGTCATGAGGAGGAGAAGCGTCAGAGTCATGAGGAGGAGAAGCGTCAGAGTCATGAGGAGGAGAAGCGTCAGGGTCATGAGGAGGAGAAGCGTCAGGGTCATGAGGAGGAGAAGCGTCAGTGTCATGAGGAGGAGAAGCGTCAGAGTCATGAGGAGGAGAAGCGTCAGAGTCATGAGGAGGAGAAGCGTCAGAGTCATGAGGAGGAGAAGCGTCAGGGTCATGAGGAGGAGAAGCGTCAGAGTCATGAGGAGGAGAAGCGTCAGGGTCATGAGGAGGAGAAGCGTCAGTGTCATGAGGAGGAGAAGCGTCAGGGTCATGAGGAGGAGAAGCGTCAAAGTCATGAGGAGGAGAAGCGTCAGAGTCATGAGGAGGAGAAGCGTCAGGGTCATGAGGAGGAGAAGCGTCAAAGTCATGAGGAGGAGAAGCGTCAGGGTCATGAGGAGGAGAAGCGTCAGGGTCATGAGGAGGAGAAGCGTCAGGGTCATGAGGAGGAGAAGCGTCAGGGTCATGAGGAGGAGAAGCGTCAGTGTCATGAGGAGGAGAAGCGTCAGGGTCATGACGTGTGACATCACAGACTGACTCAGCCTCTGTACGTGCGCTAAAGCTGGAACCATGAATGATACATGATTTATCTATTTTTATTACTGTAATGCATCGAGCTGAGCGCTGATTGGCTGAGAGCTGATTGGCTGAGAGCTGATTGGCTGAGAGCTGATTGGCTGAGAGCTGATTGGCTGGGAGAAAGTGATCCTCCATTATTCTCTTTTTTGTCTGAAAAATCTGATCTAAAGATGTGACAGAGGCTGAAAACACATGACGTGAAAACTAGTGAAAGAAGTAACTATTTTTAAGTGAGGAACCAGGTGGATTTTATTACATAGTTATATATATATTATGACTTGACCTTTTTGAGCTGGATTTGTGTTAATAAAACAAAACACACTTTATATTTGTATATTATCATAATGTGTCTTTTTCTATTTGGTTGCTGTGTTTTGTTCTTGTTTGCCATGGCTCAAAATAAAGTCTTCATTCATTATTTGTGATTTGAATGTTAGGTACCCCAGCTTTAGAAGAAAAGAAAACAGCCATTTTAAAACTCTGCTGCATAAAATCTGGTATTTATATCCAAAAAGGTCCTTCTTGCTTTGTCCTGGTTTCGACACGTGGCTAAACAACCTGTTGACCCAGGACAAATGTGGGTTGTTTTTATCGGAACGTGTCAAAACGGGTCAAAATGGGTCAAAGCAAACTTCAAACTGTCCAAATATGCCTTTTTTAACCGCTATTTAACCAGAAAAATCCCATTAATTTTCAAAGGGTGTCGTGGACAAAAGGCATTCACAACACAACCCTCAAAATATTTATACAAAAGATTTTTTTTTTTTAATACAATTCCTGAGTTTTGTTGTTCAGCTATAAACTGTGTAGCTGTTTGCGAACATAAAGGAAAAAGTATGGGGAAAGTCATGGACAGAACAAACTATTGGGTGTTTAGGTCGAATGCACACTGTTTTATTGTAAGCTTCGTTGGGTATTTTGCTAATAATATATTTTTGGTGCACTTTTCTCACTGTGATTTTGGAGATTTTGTTGTGAATAAATGTCAACTAAACATCAGTCAGAGAAATGGCCTTTAACATAACCTTTTAATTACTTCTGAAGCCGTTAAAAAAGTGTGTCTAGGTGTGAAAAGCTAGTATTGTGTCTGTTGTGTTTATAATCTGACAGTAAAAAAGAGATAAGTGGAGTCTGGGAACCAAGGTCACAGCGGGAAACACAGGAGGGGGGTTTTTGAGGTGGATTAACAACTATTTTCATTGTTAAAACTTAAACTGTGATAGAAAATGTTTAGAAGGTTGCTTTGTCACTGGTATGGCTGTATTTTAATAACTGTTTGTTTGTTAACTTCTCTGTATGTTTTAAACTGGACATGAAGTCTGTCACAAAGTTGAATTGAGTTAATTAGACAAAGATAAAGTTGGATTAAATGAATAAGTTAAAGAGGGTAAAGAATCTCGTACGGCTTCATTACTCGGCATGTATCAGCGAAAGACTTTGGTCTTCCAAAAATACTGGGAATGGGAGAAAATTAAAACAAAAGATGGATATGAGAGGCGATAGAAGTTAGGAAGTGAGGCGCACTGACCATATACAGAGACGAGGGGGCCTATACCTTGCTTCACACATGGGACTCACTTCTCCAGAGACAACAGTTCGGCAGGGGGCGTGGTTAGTCTGATGGATCTATCAGACTTAAAGGAGCTATACCCGTTTCTGAAAGGTTTGAATGTTTAGCCCCGCCCCCAACTCGCTCACAGGCTTCTCATTTCCCCGACGCTCTCCTCCCACGCAGCCATCTAGTTTTATTTGATACATATGCAAACATTAGCATGAACGCAACTTCTTGTAAGCTGTACAACAATCACTGATTAAATGGTACAGAAGCAACGCACTGCTAATACAATATATAACTGAAAGATTACCGCTAGTTAAGCGTCCGAATGTAGTCCGGGCATAGTGACCTCGGGACGCTTGTGGAAAACTCTTCGTCAAGTGTAAAAAGTGTTTTGTTTGATCATGATTCTCAAAGATACGGGAACGGTTTTTATTAGCCGGACGTATTACGCTAAATCGTTAGTCCGAGGCGGTCCCGCAGGTTTCTCCCATAGACAAGTCTCTCCAGAGGGTACGATGTAAGCTAGCCATGTTCACCCGGGCTTGATTTCTTCTTTGATAGTTTTTTGGCTTTAGTTCTTCCTGCTTCTCTTCCTCACTGTTGTGTGGTTTGGGCTGTTTTGCTGTGTCTGCAGTTACAGCCAGAGGAGTTATAGCCACTTATGCTAACACTTACTGTGGTTAGCAGCGCTGTAGAGGCTAGAGGACGCAGCCTCGCTCTCTGATTGGAGGAGAGCGGGCGTTTATACACAGCACTTTTTACAGCCTGAATTCATACACAGCTGAATCAATGAGCTCAAGTTATCAATTAAATTACAGATTTTAACACAACTTGTTTGTAGTAATACGCATTTTAGTGAACTCGGGTATAGCATCTTTAAACATGAGTTAACAAAGCAGTATAAAGAATCTTCTAAGCCTTAAACATAAAGTGATTGAAAATATTGAAAGTGTTATGATTCAGGGGAATACAAAAATAAATGTAATGTAATTGAATATACAATGAGGATCCACCAGTTATCAAAGCTTGGGAGTAGATTTGGACCAATGACGTAAACTGACTTGAGGAGGAGTAGACACGTGTTTGGTGTTTTTATATTCAACAACTACAGTTTTGTTTGCTTTGGATGAAACCGACACAGGAAGGTACAGAGACAGATACTCCAGGTCATTTACAGTATGAACGCTGGTCATTCCTTTACCATATGGTTTCTTATTCTTGTATTTCCTGTTTTCTAATATAGAGTTTTGGAAAGTTCTCAGAGTTTAGTTTATTATTATTGTCACAAACACATGACATGCAGCAAAATTCCTTATGTGCCTGTGAGATTTCATAACACTTTGAAGCAACTTTTGTTAAAGTTAAACTCATCATTCTATCAATGTGCAGAAGCCTGTACTTTTCCCTTGTTTTGTCTATCTGAAGGCCAAGCTACATGGCACTGTGGCAGCTGCTGATTGGAGGTCTCCATGCCTCCGCTCTGTATAATACACTTGCATTCTGTGTTTGTGTTGTTCGTGCTGTCTCTACCATCGACAATAAAACATGTCTTCTGTCTGAATTTAAGACACGATCCCAGACTTGGTACATCTTCTTCAGGTGGTGGAAGGATGCGGGCCTTGTCTGTAACATCTACATAACAGAAGACTACTTTTTTTTTACACAAAAAGTGTTTTTTTTTTTTCAAGCCAAAACTGAAAAACCTCAAGAGAAACCATGCATCTGGATCAGCACATGGACAATCTGCACAGCCCCTGATTCCAGTCAGGCTGTGAGCTGCTGAGACATGGACAACACCAGCGTCCTCTTTTGCATGGACACCATTTGGAACAATTGGATTTCTGAATTTGGACATAATTTGGAACAATTGGATTTCTGAATTTGGACATCATTTGGAACAATTGGATTTCTGAATTTGGACATAATTTGGACTGAATTGGATTTCTGAATCTGGACACTGAAGCTGAAATGTGTGATTGAAAGACACGTCACAGAAGAATTCACGGCTCGACACAAATGCAGCCTGAAAGAAACCAACATGGAGAAGTGGGAGAGACTGTTTTCAAAGCAATATCTGGAACAACCATCGACTGATGAAGTTTGGTATTTTACTGAAGATTGTTGACAAGTTTATGAAAGATCTGAAAATGTTTTATGAGTTTTCTGAGTTTTTGAAGTATTCCGAGTGAAGTACCGTTTAAGTATTGAGTTATGATGTTATGTTGCTGTTTATCGATCCTGATGGTCACACGTGAATGTATGACCAGAGGGTGGAATGTGAGATTTCATAACACTTTGAAGCAACTTTTGTTAAAGTTAAACTCATAATTCTATCAATGTGCAGAAGCCTGTACTTTTCCCTTGTTTTGTCTATCTGAAGGCCAAGCTACATGGCACTGTGGCAGCTGCTGATTGGAGGTTTCCATGCCTCCGCTCTGTATAATACACTTGCATTCTGTGTTTGTGTTGTTCGTGCTGTCTCTACCATCGACAATAAAACATGTCTTCTGTCTGAATGAAAGACGCGATCCCAGACTATGTCATCTTCTTCATGCCTCCAGCAGTTTTTGGTTAAATGTCAGATTACTGCTGTCAAAACTATAGTAATATTTATGTGAGAAATTACGATTCTGATTCTGACTGAGACGCTCCTTGTTCCAGTTCAACTTTATTCATAAAAACTTGATGCTATTGACGTTTTGAGCTGCGTTCTGTCAGTGCTGAGCCTCTGACGCTCTTTCTTATTCATCATATTTTGAGGCAAAGACGACCACAGTTTTTACCACTCGTTTCTTTGAAGCAGGAGAATAAATACTCAAACATCGGGCAAACATTAAAATACATATAAAATAGAAGTATTACAAATTACTTTACATTTTGTATATTCTTTTTACACAATATTTGGCTTTTATTTTCCAGAACCATTGTCCCAGTGATCTTCCGACCCCCGCCTCTCACAGGTCCCCACCCCCACTGTCTCCATGTGCCTCACTGATGATGAGTAATGAGGGTGAGTCCTCAGTAATAAAGGGCCGTTACCATAGCGATAAAACATTTTAACTAAAGATTATACCTGCTGCTCTCAGTCTTCTTCACTCACATGAGGATGCGACTGTGAGGATTCAACTTGTATTTAAGAAAAGTCAGTTTGTATGTTGGTCAAATACTAAAATCAGTGTATTTTAAATAAAAAAGCAAGATGTTGTGATCTAAACTCTCCCTGTTCATCCCTTGTTTCTCTCCAGATTATTAATGTAGATAAATGGGCATCAATCTCAATCTGTCCTATACATAAAACAGCCCCCCCACCCCACGGATGCGGCAGGATGAGCCTGTGACATCACTGCAGTGCGCCTGCCCCGCCGCACGTCCACCCTCTCATCCCCTCTCCTCTCTCCCCCGCTGCCCCCTCCCTCCCTTTTCCTCTCACGCTTCAGTATTGTCCAATCACAGGCTGCGGTGGGGGCTGGGCATAGAGCGATCAGACTCACGCTCCCAATAAGATTAGAGGAACGTTTACCCTGGAAAAAGCTGCCGCCATCTTGGAACTACCGGAAGTGAGAGGGAAACATACAGAAGCAGTATTTTTGCCTTGATAATCATTTCATGTTTTTTTGTATAGGCCTGAATCACAACAATAGTTATCTCAGAGGACTTCACAATGACACAGATCAGGGAGTAGGAAGATCACTGCCCATAAATGTAGATAAATGACCATATATGTCGACTAAACTACAATCGAATTGTTATTGCGTTAAAAAATGATTCTTATCCGATAAAAGAGTCCATGGATGGAATGGTGCCTGTAATTCTCCACCTCTAGAAACCTGTGCAGTGTTTTTCCGTAGACCGTAAATATTTTTCCCATATATGTGTGTATGTATTTATTTACTTAATTATTCATAAATTCACATCACCACGGATATCAAATTCCTTACATATTTTAGTGCATGTGACGCTTGAGTAAAACGGACTCCCCAAAAACCTCTGCAAAGCTAAAAAAAATGGGGCCGGGACAATGCATTTAACTAAAATACTAAGATGGCGAGAACAAAGGAAGTCTAGTTTTTACATAATAGTAAAAAAAAAAAAAAAAAAAAAAAAATGCCATATATAAATCTAAAAACTACTACCACAGATTACCATAGTCTCCTCTAGCATCACGACCACCTTCCTTGATCTGCACAGGAAGCCGGTTTCTTTATGGGCGGTGCTTGGAGAGGCTGACCCAACCCCTATGCAAGTGTGTGTATCTGTATGTGCGTTTGTGCGTGTGTGTGCGTGTGTGTGTATCTGTATCTGTGTGTGTGTGTGTGTGTGTGTGTATGCCTGTCGCAGGGAACTCAGGCACGGCCATCTCTCTCCCTCTCGCCTGCTTGCTCCCTTTAACCTTGCAACACGCTGTATTCTCCAGCAGCTCCTGTGCTTTTGGACTTGTGTGGATTGGACAGCGGGAGGATCAAGCGGAGGGAGAGAAATCTTAGGCCTATTTATTTTGCTTTTTGCTTCTTTCTTTCTCTCTCCTGCCTTTCCCCTTGGTCACTGACAGCTCCAGGATGATAGCGGCTCAGCTCCTGGCCTACTACTTCACTGAGTTGAAGGATGATCAGCTCAAAAAGGTAAATCCCCATAGTAGTATATTGCAGTAGTGGTAGTATTTAATGCAGTAGTAGTGTAATGTAGTAGTAGCGTGCGCGCGTGGCCATACAGACGTCCCATAGGTATAGTCCATATAGGGGGGAGAGGGAGGTGATGGGGGGGGGGGGGTCTGTGAGCAAAGACAAGCAAAATATACAATAAAATCTGTGTTATTTTTGTGATTTAAGGTGTTGGCATTTTGGGTAATTTAGTTTTTAGTTTTTGGGTGTCCTTGAGGAGGCCTGGTTGGTTGGATGGTGTTTCCGGTGGTTGCCATAGCGGCCGAAGCAGACAGGTGTCAAGGAGGAGGGAGTCGTGAGCGGCGTCTTCTCTCCGCCGCAGGAGCAGTCAATTTGACGGGTTATTTTTGGTTTTTGAAAGCGAAATGACTCTTGTTTTTGGTCTTCGTAACTTTGTGACTTTTTCTGGTTCTACCTATAGTTTATTTACAGTATATGTCATGGGTGGTATGAGATAATCCTTTATTTTTGCAATGTGAAGAGTTATACCTTTAAGAGCAGTCATTTTGACGGCTCCATTCATTTAAGTGTAAAATTCCAACGTAGCCATTTTACATTCAACCAACGTTCTATGGCAACTTTTCTCAAGGGGATGCTCCTGGACTGGTCTCAGACTGGTCTCAGACTGGTCTCAGACTGGTCCTGGACTGGCCTTGGACAGGTCTCAGACTGGTCCTGGACTGGTCTTGGACTGGTCTCAGACTGCTATCAGACTGCTATCAGACTGGTCCTGGACAGGTCTTGGACTGGTCTCAGACTGGTCTTGAACTGGTCTCAGACTGGTCCTGGACTGGTCTTGGACTGGTCTCAGACTGGTCTTGGACTCGTCTTAGACTGGTCCTGGACTGGTCTTGGACTCGTCTTGACGGCTCCATTCATTTAAGTGTAAAATTCCAACGTAGCCATTTTACATTCAACCAACGTTCTATGGCAACTTTTCTCAAGGGGATGCTCCTGGACTGGTCTCAGACTGGTCTCAGACTGGTCCTGGACTGGCCTTGGACAGGTCTCAGACTGGTCCTGGACTGGTCTTGGACTGGTCTCAGACTGCTATCAGACTGCTATCAGACTGGTCCTGGACAGGTCTTGGACTGGTCTCAGACTGGTCTTGAACTGGTCTCAGACTGGTCCTGGACTGGTCTTGGACTGGTCTCAGACTGGTCTTGGACTCGTCTTAGACTGGTCCTGGACTGGTCTTGGACTCGTCTCAGACTGGTCTTGAACTGGTCTCAGACTGGTCCTGGACTGGTCTCAGACTGGTCCTGGACTGGTCTCAGACTGGTCCTGGACTGGTCTTGGATATTTATAATATGGCCCTCGATACTTATATAATATCTACATAAATGATAAATAAGAATAAATAATAGTAGGTTCTATGACACTGGGTTTTGATAACGAGACAATCTTTCAGAATCAGGAGGACCAATTGAACGACGATTCTCAAATGAGGATCTAGTTTTGTCGCAGATAATGATCCTTCGATAGCACTTAATTTGTGCTACAGCTGCTAATTGAAATGAACAGGAGCCAAAAGTCTCTTAATAATTATACGTTTATATACTTTATACCAATCTCCAGATGTTGATGCTCGGCTTGGACAGGACCAGAGCTGGAGGATTTTGCATGTTTTAAGTGTTAGGGGAAACCGGAGCACCTGGAAGAAACCTACATAGACACGAGGAGAACATGCAAACTCCACTCAGAAAGCACCACTACTCGGCCACCTTTAGTAATTATTATGATCAAAACTAGTGCTATTTTACAATACTAGTCTCCCTCTGGACTCTCTCTGGTCTCTCTCTCTGGTCCCTCTCTGGTCTCTCTCTGGTCTCTCTCTGGTCTCTCTCTGGTCTCTCTCCAGTCTCTCTCTGGTCTCTGTCTTTCTCGTCTCTCTCTGATCTCTCTCTGGTCTCTCTCTCTCTGGTTTCTCTCTGGTCTCTCTCTGGTCTCTCTCTGATCTCTCTTTCTCTAGTCCTTTTCTGGTCTCCCTCTGGTCTCTCTCTGGTCTCTCTCTAGTCTCTCTCTGGTCTTTCTCGTCTCTCTGAGATCTCTCTGGTCTCTCTCTCTGGTCCCTCTTTGGTCTCTTTCTGCTCTCTCTCGCTTCAGTCTTTCTAGTCTCTCTCTGGTCTCTCTCTGGTCCCTCTCTAGTCTCTCTCTGGTCTCTCTATGTATTCTCCTCATTCCTACTGTTCTATAACTTGTAATGCAACACTGACATTTCCCCACTGTGGGACAAATAAGAATCTCTTAATCTTAATCTTAAACTATGATTCATTATCGCCTTTAATGCACTAACGTGAACGTGCACTAACATTCAGAATGCAATTTGTGAAGCTAATGGTCGCTTACAAAACTCTCATAAAGGCAGAAGTAAAAACCACCTGAACTGGACTCATATCGTGGCAGGAATGTGGTAACAATTGGCCAATCAGATGTTGCAATCCAGATAAAAAGTCTGTAAATGTTATCGAGAGCTTTCACAAAGACAAACGTTGAGCTTTTGTCTCAGAAATGACTCTTTTTGTTACCGCAGGAAAAAAAGGTGAAAGAAATGTCAGGGAACTACGTAGACCATGATGCTTTGCTCCATGATGAAATACATTGCAGTAAAACCTTTCCGTGATAGATTCGTCTATAGATGGATAGCTTTCCGGTCATAATCACAAATGTAAAACTGTAAAAACAATTAAACTATAGCATTTTAGAGTTACTTAGAGTTGGAATCTTAGAGATGGGAATGTTTGAACTCATTGAACCTGCATCAACAGACAGAGAGGAGGAGTGAGGCAACAGCAGAAGGACACAGCGGCCGATAAATAAACTGGATTTGTGACCTCTGTCCAAGAATGTCACCTCCACAGCCACTGTTCTGTCACTGTGAACGATTTCCATTAAACATACTCTTGGTTTTATGAATACAAGTGCTATTCAGGCTTTAAAATGGTTAGAAATGGTTTAAAAATATTGTTTTTATGACTTTAAATGTCATTTGTTTTCAAAAGTTGTATAATATGCAACTATTCACAGGCGCAAACTCTACTCTGCCCTACTCTACTGTACCCTACCCTACCCTACCTTACCCTACTCTACTCTACTCTACCCTACCCTACCCTACTCTACTCTACCCTACCCTACTCTACTGTACCCTACCCTACTCTACTCTACTCTACCCTGCTCTACTCTACCCTACTCTACTGTACCCTACTCTACCCTACTCTACTCTACTGTACCCTACCCTACTCTACTCTACCCTACTCTACTCTACCCTGCTCTGCTCTACCCTAATCTACTGTACCCTACCCTACCCTACTCTACTCTACTACTCTACTGTACCCTATCCTACTCTACTCTACTCTACTCTACTCTACTGTACCCTACCCTACTCTACTCTACCCTACTCTACCCTACTCTACTCTACTGTACCCTACCCTACTCTACTCTACTCTACTCTACTCTACCCTGCTCTGCTCTACCCTACTCTACTGTACCCTACCCTACCCTACTCTACTCTACTCTAACCTACTCTACTCTACTCTACTCTACTCTACTGTACCCTACTCTACTCTACCCTACTCTACTCTACCCTACTCTACTCTACTGTACCCTACCCTACTCTACTCTACTCTACTCTACTCTACTCTACTTTGCCCTACTCTACTCTACCCTACGCTACTCTGCTCTACCCTGCTCTACTCTACACAACTGTACTCTACCCTACCCTACTCTACTCTACTCTACTCTACTCTACTCTACTCTACTCTACCCTACTCTACTCTACTGTACCCTACCCTACTCTACTCTACCCTACTCTACTGTACCCTACTCTACTCTACTCTACTCTACTCTACTGTACCTTACCCTACTCTACTCTACCCTACCCAACTCTACTCTACCCTAACCTACTCTACTGTACCCTACCCAACTCTACTCTACTCTACCCTACCCTACTCTACGCTTCTATCTCATTTCCAAATCAAACTGTTTTTGGCACCACTGCACTGACATCCCCAGTTTTCATCTGATTTACATTATAATAATAAAGTAAATCCTCCCAATGTCGTGAGGCCCAACATTACAAATGTGTTTATTAGAAAAGTGAGTCAGAGATCTATAAATACTTTGTGGAAATGGATTTGTCGGATGCCCCACTGTGCAAAACGCCACGAAAATCAATCAACCACATCCCACAGGAAAAGCTCTGATATCTTTGCTCTCAGACTTCTATAATTGTCACATTTGTTGGAGTTTCAGACTTTGTATCGGGTAACACTAGAACTCCCAGAGCAGTCAAATTGATGGCATTTAGTTTTAGAAGTGTTATTCCTCAGTTCATGTACATTTGCGGTCCTCTTAACTTTGTGACTTTTTCTGTTCCTTTTCTGCAGTCTACTTCTATGTCATTGTTTTCATTTATTTTATTATATAATTGTTATATAAGAATTCATTCATTCATAGCCATTTTCTGTCACTTGGCACATAAAGCCCTCAAGGTGCTGGTTTAAGACTGGTTTTGGACTGATTCTAGTCCTGGACTGGGTTTACACTGGTTCTGGTCCTGAGCTGGTTTTGCACTGGTTCTGATCCTGGACTGGTTCTGGTCTTGTTCTGGTGCCACTTGAGAAGGGCGAGTGCTTGTTGCCATAGCAACACACTGTTAACTGTTTGCGGTTAGCATTTGGTTAGCCCTTCAACTGAAATGTTTTTGCTGCATTTCAAGTAGGGGTGTTTTTCAATATATCGAAAAATCTATATATCGCGATACTTTCTCCCGCAATTATTTTTTTAAATAATTTTTTTACTATACTTAATATATGGCTACAATATGCATCTCCATTCCATTTATCATGAGATAAAGTGTATTTTTTCTTTTATTTATGCTATAAATTGGCATATTGTATATTTCTGACCAATATATCGATAATTGTCATATTGTGATAAAATTGTTATCGTGATATTATCGT